TCTAGGGACCTTTCGTCTCTATATTTTCAACATGTCTGGTGCGTGACGTGGGGACAAGCTATGTCTCGAACACGCACCGTGGTGACAAAAGTGGCGAAGCACCAAACATCTTTTGCCCGTAAGCTGCAGCGTTCCACCAAGTGACTACCTTACTCTAGCCTGAGATTTTATATCCGAGTCGGGCACTTGTAATTTTGGCCTTCATCATTGGAGAGGAGCTTGCCAAAAAGTGGTGGGCAATACAAGATTTAAAGTCAGAGTTAATGATGCTTCCACGAGAGCCCTCCCTTTGGATACGCACTTTCGGCTGTACTTGCACACGCTTGAGGGCGGCTTTTGTCATATCGGATAACTGAGCTGTGATGTGGTAACTGTCAAATGCGACTAGTGTCCTGCGCGACAATTGATCGCCGAGGACCAATTAAGTCTACGGACCAGAGACATCTTGGTAAGATGTGTTGCACCGCCTACAGTTAACAAACATTAGTAGTACGAGTGAACAATACATGCTCACACACACAATTTCATTACCCCCGGTGGAAACTCCTCCAGTAGTTCTAGTGGAGCATCGTAAAATCTAAAAGCCGCTCTATACAAAAGCCACAGACGTGCACAGTAAAGGTGTCTGTTCTGGCGATCCGTCCGTTTTGGTGTGCAAGTACTGAAATGGATGGGATTCGCATTAGCAAAACATGTTCAACGAAGAACGAAATTGCTCCTCTCCGTTTAGCACGTTGAGTCACAAAATAGTCTCGATATTTCCCCTCAAACTACCAACCATGAAGACATTTTTCAGCAAGTGTCACACGGGTAGGTGTCACAACGCCCGAAGACGGTCATATCGCGATGCAGCTGGAGCCGGCTGCGTCAGCATTTAGCACAAGTGATGCATTGTGACAGATCACAACAAGTCGAGGTTTCAAGGATGGAAGCCCACGGTACTTGGTACTTATGACCTAGATGTCCCCGTCACTTAAGTCGGGTCACACACGCCTAGATTATCATGTATATATTCGGGTCGTAGGTCGGGGTCCTAGATTCAACTTCCCAAGGATCTGTTAAACTTAAAAGACAACATTGAATTATTAAATAAAATTCGAAGCTATTCAAAAGCCCTCTACGAGGCCTTGTCACAGTAAGCCAGCATTCCACCTGACTCTACCCTACCACATCCCTCACGCGCAATCCCTAGAAATGAAGCTCTCATATCTCCCGCTCCACGCCATCGCTTGCGCTTTCACCACCAATGCGGCCATCGTCAATTTTTACTCGGACAATAACTGCGCCCAGTTCGTCGGAACCCGTAATATCTGGGACAACACGTGCGCACCCGGCAACCCCGCATTCAAGTCGTTCATGGTCACTACGGCTGGCGGCGACGGTCAGAATCTTTTGACAAATTCCAATCAGGGTGATTGTCCGTATAGCACGCAAACTGGCTGTTTCAATGCCCAGACTGTGGGTGTTTGCAATTGGGTGTGGGAGGGGACTAGTTATTCGATCGGGTCTTCAAGGGGAATTTCATGTTAAGATCTCGAGGTATCATGGACGTCAAGGTCGAGTCGCTCATTCTAAACAAGAGCAGTATAAATGCCTGAGAGGCAACAGCAACTGCTGCCTGTAAGGTTTTTAGCTTGGTATGATTCCACCAAGTGCTCTTTCATGTCAATAGCAAATGAAGAGTCTCTCGTTGCCTGATTTGAGTAGCTGCGCCGTGTAGCTATTGCATTCTAATTCAGCAGCAGTAAAGTGTGAACCGTGTATAAGCCCTGTAGGCCCTTTCAGCCGCAACGATGTCTACGCTGTGCTTTGCCTTGGTTCTAATTAAGCTACTGTGCCTTGTACTTGCGATGCTTGACGTATTTGTGTATATGTATATTCGAATTAAGGCGCAGCGGTGTGTAGTTGCGCAGCACTGGTTCAGTATTTTACCAGACCGCAATCTACCAGCAGCACTAAGCGCCGGAAGTGAGACGCTCATGAAAACCTATTTGAAAAGCGTCCCGGTTAAAAGGCAGCCTGATTTTCAGAACTTAATTTAGTATACAATTCAACTGTTTGATTAAGACATTTGAAATGGAAACTATACCCTACGGGAGATTAGTAATACCTAGCATATTAAGAACAGGATAAATAAGACAAAAGACCGTAAATTTTCTATATAAGCAAAGGTTAAATACGAATGTAAATACTCGAGTAGGTAGCAATATAATAATTACTATGACCTTAAATAAACAACTCGATCTTGACACTCCCCTCTTGTATCCCCAGCTCACACCAACGGCGTATAAACTATATCGGGTTCGTGTGTAGTGATATTAGTTTGTCTTAAGTTGACAACCAGGGTCGGGGTTGCAGTAAAAGCACTCTTTCTCCTCGTCGACGAGTACGCAGCCACGAAGTCTTCGGCATGACTTTGTAATATGTTAGAAAACATGATATACGTTCAAAAGTAGCCAAAGATAGTGGTACTCACAAATGGGTGGCAATTATCATTGAGTCCGAAGATAGACGTAGAGCTGTGGTCCTGTGCAACTGGAGTGGCCAAGCACAGGCCAGCAAAGACAGTAACGAGGAAAGTGGTAACTTGCATTTCGGCGAGGATTACTTGTTGTAATGTAAAGAAATCAAGGAAGAATGAGTCTGAGATGAAGATCTTTGTTGAACAGCATCTCCCATCCTATTTATACTCAACAAAAGTCCAGTGGATACTTGTCAAATATTTTGAGTTGTTTTCTGGCCTTCGCAATGGACTCATTCTCACCTCAAGGCTCTATATCAAGCGCACTTAAGCTACCAACACACAAGGGTACTGATTTCGTAGCAGTAGGGGTATAGCAGGGCTACAAAGACCAGGGCAAGTTCGAGTCGGAGCACGAGAATCGGAATTACCACGATTCCAACCAAGTCCGAAGCAAGCCCTAGGTTTGTGATACTTGCCCATAATCATGGGCCAAAAGTGGCCGGATCAACCGGGAATAATGTGGCATGATACCTTGTATAACTCTCAGTCTAATATGTGTCAGGCCATAAAGTATAGTACTTTTACTGAACGCTACATTTTGCGCCAGTAACTGTTAAGGACGTTTTTACTAGGTAATACGTCATAAAGCTGCTACGCAAGTTCAAAGTACACTGCCTTAAGTACAAGGTACTAGGGTGGAAAATATATATTTTGCTATTCGCCCTCTGATCTAGTTATCCGAGAGTCCGGACTTGAGACATCTAAATGCCGGATACCACAATCGCCGAATAGCCGAATGCGAACCACAGATCCTTGCGAGGTGTCGACCAAGTCCAACGGATTGGTTATCCGCTCGTTCCGAGATTCTATAATAATAGTGTGATGTCAAGATTAAATCAATGACCCGCGGACATGTAAAAGCAGCATAGCATAGTAGATATCAACAAGAGGAACAAGCCCTCTATACCAAAACGATAAATTATCGTTAGGGATATATGGGGTACAATACCGAAACGGGAACAGTTACAGTTCAGAGCGAGCTGGAATTCTCGGATAACTCGGATTAGTATTAGTGAATAAAATCATGCCACGAGGTTTGTTGCGTGGCTCACAGTTAAAAATAATCGACAGGACCACATAGACCAAGGACTGTGTTATTGTCTTTCCTTGTTTATAACTCGGAATTTCGTAAATCAGAGGTTACTAGCCCCGCCTCCACCGACTCGTATCATACCATTGCAAAAACCCAAATGCTAAGGCGCCTAGGCTTGAGAACAGCGACAGGTAGCGGGTAGATAAATATGTTGCAACGCCCAGGGACCATGATTCTCGTAAACATTATCCTGTCAACAACGCATCTAGAATTCTTAAACTGCTGCATCAATGAATGGGAAAACTTCAACAGTGGTAGCCCGTTTCCCTTCAGTGTTTGCCTTGGGTCCCGGCGTCATCGAAAATAGCGACACTTGGGACTAGCGAAGCTTGATCGGAGAGGGTATTGACATAATATTCTGCGATTTTATTGAAACGCCATTTTCCAACTTCTTTGTCGTCCACAGCCCAACTCTACTAATAGCTATAGGTAAGCAAGGCATTTATAGTTACACGGAAGTCACCGGACGTTACTATCAAGGCACGGGCCGTAAACCTAATAATAAATATATAAAAGCTAAAACTTGACTTACAGCTTTAAGCTTTTAAGCTTATATAAGCTTTAAGGTTTTAGGAAAATTAAGAACTTGAATATTCAAGCAAAGTGTTAGCTGACCCGTATAAGACTGCGAGTATAGCGATTTGGCAGGATGTATTGGAGGACATGTCTCGGCCTTGGGTGGCATGTCATGTAACTTCGTCCTTTACAAGATCGAGATCCAGCGGTGGAACCATATTCTCCTCTATTTCTAACTTCCAGGCCCCGTGGCTTTACGCAAACTCGTGCGCTGAAAAACTACTCGACAGCTATCATCGTTTCACAAGAGGCAGCGGCATGACAGCTTCAAGAGCCCAATTTGCCCTCTTTGCCTATACCACGTCCTCGCCATGAGCACATGGCATTCAGCTAAATCACAAATGCTTATCGAAGCGAACGACAACTCCATCCGGTTTCCAGTCAAGCCATCGAATTCTCCCATCTGACCCACGGGCAAAAATAACCCGATACTCCACCCAACTTTTAAAAATATTGGAAATGGCCCATCCAGTGTTCACTTGGAGGACTTACAGGATTTGGTTGACGTCAAGGGCCGTCTTGCTGGCGGGATGAGCTCGGATGGCGTAGCCGATGTGGTTCCTGGCCGGAGCGCCGGCTTGGAGGCGGACGAAGACCCGGAGGTACCGGTGGTCGTTGCTCTTGGCGATAAGTCTCAGCAGGTCGACTTTGTGTGGTCAATGGGTTCAATGTTGTGGGCGGTGTTTGTGGCTGGTGGCAATTCAAGTCGGAGAGGCAGTGGCATTGGCGGCAATGCTGCTATAGGTTGGTGCAAATACGCACCAGATGTGCAATTGGTGTCAACTGGTTGGTCAGAGTTTATTTCCCTTATTCGAGGAAGCTACTGGAGAAGTGCTTGGCGAAGTCGCGTTCTGGCCCAGTAGTAAATTCCTTGGCGGCCTCGTTGTAGGCGGCGACTTGCTCGTCGACGAGCTGCTTAGCCGCATCTGTGACGGCTGCTCCTGTGAAGCGTCGTAGGAGTGCGGGGAATTCGTCGAGCTGCTGTCCGGTCTGGTCCTTCACGTCCGGGTGAGTGACGATGAGGGTGTCTGGGCCATCCTTCGGCGTGCAGGTGAAATTGACGCCGATGTCGGTCATCGCCACCGGGGAGCTGCCTCGGAACAGGGCTGCGCGGGCGCCTCGAGCTGAGTTCCAGTCTCGGGTATACAGGCCGAGATCAAACATTGAATGGACCAGACCGGACCAGACTTGACTCGTATGGCGGGCTGGGGGTGGCCCACCGAAATCTTTCCAGCAGCTTGACAGTCCCGGTCTATATTCTATTGACGCGACACCTCTATGTGGTCAATAGCTTCAAGAAATTGGCTGTGCATTGCGAATTCCACAGGCGGTTAGAGCGTCTGGTCATAGGCAAGATGACTGACATCCAAGAACTTTTGCGGGCACTTACCCATGTGTCATAGAAGCCATCTCTTTGACAGTCTTGGACGGGCCTGCACACCAGACACGAAACCAAGTCCTTATGCAGCTACAGAGGACATCTGGAAGTTATAGACTCCGCAGAAGCAAGGCTCGGGCTCCGACGAGTCAAGTTTATGGTATGCTGGCATTGAGACGGAAGACAGTGCACCAACGCCCCCGTCGTTATCATCGCAATTAGACGACCCAATATCATCCCCCAAGAGTCATGTTAGCGTTGATGGATATCTCAGCATGGGGGATAATTCCGACACGTACCACTATTGACTGTTAGGAGCTCAAGAGCTCTCCTTTTCTTGTTCTTTCTTCTCTGTCTTCCTCAGCTTTGGATATTTGTTAGAACCACCTAGTCAGTTGTCAATATACTCGCTAGACCGTTATATATTATAAGGTATAATTGTTCACGCGGCTTGATTTTCGAGTCCTTTTGTCCTGAAATAACCTGTAACAGCTAGACCGCTCATTACCTCAGGCGACAGAAATCACACCAGACACTAGGTCAAAAGTAAAACTCCAATCCTGAGGGTGGATGACGTATCTTGATCCATTTTCGTTCGACATCGTGCCATTCCCGCAGGACTCCACGGCAATTTATGCGCTAGGATTTAATATCCGCACAAGGATCCGGGAGATTAATTAATAAAATGCCGAGAGGCTCGCGGGGCAGTGGGGGCCCCACATATCGTACCTTGACGGAACAAAGCCAGTACATGATCTTTGACTGAAAAAATTTACTGGTAAATACTATCTTTTTTGCTACCAAATAGCTCGTGGAGACTCGCTCACTGAAAAAATTGTCTAGCAGAGGAGGCCCCACGAGCCACTTAGTAGCTAAAAAGATATGAACACATTTTTTAGGAAAACTAAGATTAACAGGTTAAGGAAGTTTACACATGAAGCTCAATAAAAGCCCCTTCAAGCGATATTAGCCCTAATATGCAGGCGCCCTCCAAAAAGAAGGGCAAGCAGACCCATTATTGGTGTCAAGTATACAGAGTAATATAGCCTCTTATACCGAACAGGGTTCTTGGTATAACTATTACGAGCTAATTTTTAAAAAGGCACTGTTTAACCTTATTGTCTGATTAGTTGATAACCCCTGGAATAGGTGCTCCACGAGCCCCTCAGTATTCTATAAGATAGATTATACTCATGAGTCGTTCATACTTGGTTGTTTTTTGCGAGCCTGGTCTTTTGAGCTTCTTTCATTCTCTATAAATACAGCAAGGTATTCATTTAGATTATTACAGTACTACAATTTATCAATAGTAAACAACAGCCTTCGCTATTACACATTATCATCTTTTACAAACCCATTTTCAGCAACCCACTGTGAACTCCCCGTTACAATGGTGCGCAGTACGGCTATTACACTAGCCGCCACGTTTTTTGCTACTTTAGCAGCAGCAGCAACTATTGATAAGAGGATAGTAGGCGGTGAAGATGTTCCGGACGGTGAAATCAAATTTATTGTCAGTCTTTGTGATGAGAACGGGACTCATGTTTGCGGAGGCAGCCTATTAGACAGCACCACAGTTCTTACGGCTGCTCATTGCCTTATCAGCGATGAGATCCAAATTGTCTCTGTGACAGCGGGCACAGTGGTACATATACTACCCACCCTTCAGTCTAGTACTTTAGTGCAGCTGATGAAATATGAAGCAGCACAGAGCTAATAATTGCCACAGTCCACCAAGACGGGGGGAGTAAATGCAACTGTTGCATCTGTCGAGAAGCACCCCAATTACAAACCAGGCGCGCCCAGTGATTGCCCAGTGGACTTGCCGTGGGATGAATGTAGAAGACGCGCGGACTTACCGGGCGGTCGGGAAGAAAACGATATAGCCATCGTAAAATTATCAACTCCGATTGAGAAGAGCGACACTATTGACTATGCCGGGCTTCCTCCGGCCGGCGGGGATGCCGTGGTCAATTCCACCGGGATAGCTGCAGGCTGGTAAGTGCCATGGCTCAGCACTGCAGCATGTCTGGTATATATGCTAACTGGCAGGACAGGGGCTCACAAACCCCTCTGGAATCAACTGTTCCTAAAGATGGAGAAATGAAGCCCATCATCCTAGCTGAAAAACTTAGCAAGGTTGTTCTTCACATTCACGCACGCGAGGACTGTGCCGCCAAGTACAAGAACCAACGTGTAGGTGATAGAGATACCATAATATGCGCTGGTGGACAAGGCAAGAATCCATGCAAGGGGGATAGCGGTGGTCCTCTTTTCCACCCGGAAACAAGGGAGTTGCTTGGTGTCGTGTCATGGAGCATCAAGGACAGATACGAAGACGATCTTTGCAATAAGACTCCCACCGTGTTTACCAGAGTTGGCAGCTACATCGACTGGATCAACGACAATCTTGGTTCTAGGGCTAGCTCTAGGCTTGCTGCTGTGAGGCACTGCACACGCCCTGAAAATGACGTGATCCCGTGCTTCAACGCCTTACTGTTCTGCCAGGCTCGTGAAGTGAGCCCTGATGCACCGGAGCTAGAGTTCCTTGAATGCATCGACAGAATACAAATATGCGCGGGCCAAGATACACGCGCAGATCAGTGCGTAGCCAACGCAAAGGTGTGCAAAGAACAGGAGAAGTTGAATGTAGGGGATCTGGTGAACCTTGCTCGGTGTGCTAAGCAAGATCTCTAGATAAGAAGTATATTTTTGGGGCTCAGCTTAGATTCAAAATAATAGCAACGATGGGAAGTCGACTATTCTTGTTCTAGACTAGGTGTAGTATGCTTCGCAGTGTTGAACATAATAGTGTCACGCTATACGACTTATTGTTAAAGCATTCTTTTTGTCTTGTATTTTCCCTACAGGTTTGTAATATGCTGACAAAAAATGGCCATACAATGAGAATCTGTCAGCATATTAGGACTCGCCGACTTCTGGTATTTATAGACCTCTGATCCTCCAAGATCTCTCAGAAGATCAAGGGCCTTTGATACCGCAAAGTTGCGTATTGAATTGAATTTTGAACCAACCGTTCCAAGCCCATATACCCTGCCCTTGTCACATCAGCCAACAACCAACAACCATCAGCTGCAGGCGTAGACACCGAGTCCCCACAGAGTTGATGCCGGACACCAGCACTTTTCCCAGCTCAAGACGTAGGTAAATATGGGCAACCAGCAATTTGAACGCCAAAAGCACAGAACATGCCTTGATTCTGTAGCCTAGAGATGCTGGCAGAGTAAGCTATTTATGGATAGCGCAGGCTGGAGCCTACGCGTGATGCTATCTCATGTTCAACACTACCCACCAGTCTTTCTTCGTTGGGTAATGAGTCCCGAATGTATTTATTAGGACTGATTCTCAAACCTTCAAGAATGGGAAAGTCTGGCAGTTGCGTGGTGCGCCATCGTCTAGAATAGGTTTCCCAGCAGAAGATTGCCGATCTATTTATGGGGGCTGTTATCACGATGCTAATCCAGGGCGTAATTTTATCAGTCATTTTTGTCTACGAATGCCCAAATTCAGGACTACCACATCCGAACAGAATAACAAGTAATTTGAATCGTGAGGGTATAAAAGCCTACTCGATCTACTATTGTGCTCTAATGATGCTCATAAAATAAACCCACGAGCCCAGTACAACTTGATATCCAGGCCACTCTTGGCCTGTAGACGGCCTTCTTCTTCAACATATCCAAGCCATTCCGGCCTCTTGTTCAATATGGCTTCATTTCATGGCTGCGTTCACACTTTCTGGTGCCGCCCATATAAATAAATTCTCGTCGGCTTGAATCCGGTAACAATTTCTTCATTGTGCCGATACCCACCATACCAGCTACCTCTTTATAGATCCTTCGCGTCTTGTAGCCACTGAAGAGTCGGTCTCGTATCTCAGCTCGTCGCCTGAGCAGCCCAGCTCAGGCGTCGACTGGTAGCATCTCACTATTTCGGGCTGAAGAATCAAGACCTTTGATAAGCCCAAAGATGTCAAATAGGCGAAGTAAATCGTCTGGGACGTGTATTCTCTCCGCAGTGTGCTGGGTTGCGGCTGTTATAAGCTCTTTATGGGTGTCCTCAAAGGCCGAGATATCGCTATAGACGCGTATACTGGATTCTTTCCGAATATATTCCTCACACGATCTTAACCATCCCTCTACCAAAGCAAGGACGAGACTCAAATTTCCACGATCAACACGTGAGGTAATAGAGTCTCGGGTATTCCGAATAAGCTGGGTATTAATAACCGAATATATAGAGCTAAAAGGAGAGATAGTATCGGCTAGTGCAATTAGTTTTCGCCTAGGTTCAAATGCTTGAGAGTATTTGGAAATCTTCGTTCCCAGCCGGATGAGCTTTATCAGAGCTGCTTCTATATCCGGATACCATGTAGGCAGTTCTTGCTTGTGTAGTCTTTGGAGAGGGTTGCGAATCGCCATTCTTATCCCTTCGTCTAACATAGCAAGAGGCGTCGAGCCATAGTTAGAATCGCCATTGAACGGAGGCATGTTGAGCTAAGGTCCAAGATCGTAAAGCAGCCTAAAAAGATACTCGTAGACACCAACGGGGCGAGGCCAATTTACGCATGGATTATGTGACCAGGGCTTGTGATTGAGGACTTAGAACAATATAGTATTCAGCTAATAATTCATTTTAATATTAAAGGTCCTTAGTTCTTCTTAAGGCCTTAAGTGCAGATTACCCTTATTAATATTAAATAGCGGTGAGCAAGCGAGCCCGGAAGCCTAAGGCCTCAACTGGGTCTCGAGCCCTTGTAACTATCGTCGGGTTCAAGGTTTGGCCCGTGCCTTATGGCAACGTGACTTCCGTGTAATAGATTAAATGCGAGCAAGGTTTAAATGCATGGGTTTACGTGAGGGGAAGATCTATTCATCTCTACGCGGACTACACGACCACGTAATCTCTCCTCATCACGTAGACACTGAGCAAAGTGAGTTAAAAATTGCCGACACAACATTTGCAAGAAGCGGCTTTATTAGTTCGTGTCCTTGTACTATTCTTACTAAACTTGTGAGGTCCTAGGCCCTAACTCGCAGATGTTTCCAAGAACACAGGTTGGTTTACTAACATTTTGCTTTATGTGGCCTATCAAAGATCATGGATTATTTGCGACATCCAGGCTATTATATCTCCCCATCCTAAATTAAATGTACGACTCTTGATTTCCTACATAGGTAGTAAAATCGTTCAAAACATCACAAAGGTTGGCATAATACTGCCTGTGTGGAGTGATATAGCTGTTGCCTTGAATGAGCGACTTGACATTGACAGGCTCCATGGGCCCGTATTTTGTTCGTATAAATAATCGTGATTTTGGGAATAGAAGGCTAAATAAAAGACAAACGAGGTAGTCGTGATCAGAAATGAAAACAATTTGCCAGATCCATCTTCTTTTCCAGAAATTGTGGTATATATCCTTGACTATCGCCTATAGATTTGCTAGATTACATAGTATCTGAGTTGATATGCCAAGATATACCGATCTGTTTCAGTCCAAGTATGGCTAATGCTGCAGTAACAGACCAACTAGAGGCATCCAGCACATTTTTCATGCGAGCATATCCTACACTCGTTATCGGAACCATCATTCTTTATCTGAACACCGAAAGTAGGAGGGCCTGTACACGATTAGCTTGGGCATATTGCCATATTTAGCAGTAAACTTACAAACGCAACAGTACCAGTCCCATTTCTTTTTGATATTTGGCTCTTCAGGCATTTTGGAGGGTTTTCAAAGCTTGAGAGGTTGGTAGAGTTTTACAGTAAATGTTCTTCCGTGGTTCGGCCTAGACGAGGGTTGGTATGGGAATGAACGGGTATTTATACTTATGACTGTAATGTATAGAAAGTCATGATGCTTGTTGCGTCCATGGTATTTGCTTTCGACACATTCAACCGTTACAGCTAGCTTTTAGTACATAGACAATAGCGACGATTTTGATGCGTCACAAAATGATGTATCTTGTTGGCTTGGTGTAATTTACAATACATGAGTCTGTACTCAGATTTCCAAATTATATCCCTCCTCACCTTGGAGGACACCCCCTAAGGTCCGATGAAGCTCCTCAAGACAGAGTAGAATTCGTTGAATCAAGGATATTTGATGCAGGCCACACCACCTCTGGGCCCCTAGATTTCCTCCTCTATTTTTTCACATGCACTGGTAATTTGGGCCTTCTCATCTTACGAAGCTTTGGCCAGCATGAGCAAAAGGATTCTGGGAAGTATGCTTTGTGACGTAATTTACTGATTGATAATGGTGATCTCGCCACCTATTTGCGAGTGAAACGATGAAATAGTATGCCTCGCACTAGTCAGGGTAGCCTTCAGCATAGTTCATATTTCATGCGTTCTTCCTGCATCAATGAGCTGTTCTTCCAATAAGCCAACTATCCCGTATTAAGAACGGAGTGAGTGCTCTCGCGTGGCGTCTGGTTTAATAACCGGTATGGTATAAGGCGTAGGGGCACAGTCTCTTTCAGTTATATCTTCAAGCCTCTGAGGATTGAGACCGGGTCTGCGGTACCCTCAAAAGCGCAGTGCATTTAACTCATCTTAGCCGGGGATGCATCCAAAATCGTGGTGGTGTTCAAGGCTCCGCTATCTTGTGATTTTGCGAAATGGTGGAGTCGAGCAAGTTCGGCTGCGAATTATATGTGTTGTAAGTATACGCCACACCAGATGCAGCCTGTAGGCCCTACTTCTTGCCAGTCCTTTTACTTGCCTCGTGAAACATTGAAATATCTTCTGATGATGCCGACCGCATAATTTGTCCTCTTTCCCTGTCTCGATCACATCACCGCAGGCATCATCACTGTTAACCACTGGCCGAGGAGTTTCATGCACACCACAGATCCTCTGTAGTATTCAATGTCGTAATATATTGTATTTAATGGTGCTTGATTATTTTTCCGTCGTGTTGACATTTTTTCTGGTGCTGAAGCTCCGAACATTGAGTCAAGTGTCATGATGGTTGAAGTCTCCAGAACAACTCTTCTATAAGACAGAAATAGTACTACTACGGGCATAATGCTCGACAGAAGACGAACGAACATCCTCCGACTGAGGTGTTGAGGCTTGTGCCGTACGAAGAAGGCTTGGCAACCTCACGCTTAACTAATTTGGTCTCAATAACTCGTATCTCAATGTGCTCAACAAAAAGATCCAAGCAGTACGTGGTGTAATTTATAGAACAGTTTGCTCACAACCTGCTACAAACAAGGCGAATTGCGCCAGAGCCGAGTCAATCGTAGTGACTGGCAACAAATTGCGTACTTTAAATAAACAAGGGTCAATCCCACATAAGCAATTGGCAAAGATATGTGCAGCTTGACTATCGAGATTAGTTGACAAGCATGTCGCTATATTCCTGTCGGCTGCTGGCCACTTATCTGCCTCATGACTGGAGGCACACTGGTAGGAGAGGGCCCTACTAAAGACGGTTATTAGGTGAATTGAGTTATTACTCCAAACCCTCACTGGGCTCTTGTAGCAGATTGAACTGCAGTCAGAGGCAAAAACTATTTGACCACTTCTGGTACCTGTCCCTCACGCTTTCTATTATACTATCTATGTGATCTCCCAGTGGACAAATATAATATTCCACAAACGTTAGCTGTGATTTAATTAAAAGTTTAATTGGACTTGGGAGCTTGGGTGATGCTAGCTACGGGAAATCATCACCCTAGGTTGCATGGATAATATTGCATCTATGTAACCAGTTTTCGGTTGCTTATACACAACAATTATGGTGCATCGTAGGGTATGTTGGGCCCCATCTTGGCCAGTTCGTCTGGCGGCAAGCTCCTCAACCAGGAATATAGAACGTATATGGACGTGTCGATATACTAATAACATGAAAACCTCAACACTAGTCTGAGACAACACTCACACTGTAATCGAGATAATATTATCATGGAGAACAAGAATCGGCTGGCAAGAGTGCTAATACTCCAGTCATCTGTCATGAAAGACAGCAACCAAATCTAGAATTTCTCCATAAAATTCTTTCTCACCGTCCACAGCCTGGCTCGCTTGCCGAATATAAACATAGGTATCGTGGTAATCTGCACGACAAGCTGAATTATCCCCAGCCACATGAAGACCTTTTTCGGACCCTCGTCAACCATCCAATGGGAGACAAATAAACCAAACACCAATCCATGGAAGATATTCTTGGCAAAGTTTAGCGTCACGAGTGCCTCGCCAGCATATTGACGATAGCTGTCCACGCAAAAGGTAATAGACGTTGTTGAGCCCAGCGAGCAGCCAAAGGAGAGGACGCCAAAGAAGATGGTAGGAACTATCCAGTGGTCCTTTTCCTCTGCCGACCACCCAAAGCCCATGAGTCCAGTGCACGTAGCCAATGTAATTGGGATTGCCATGACGAGGCGGAACTCGGGCTCATATAGCCCGCCGTTGCGCGACGACATGGCCCGGACTACCATGTCGCTCACCCTGCCAGCTACAGCAGTTCCAAGAATACCACCTATAAACGGGGAGATGTAGACGAGACCTGTCTGCAGGGAAGTAAAGTTGTACGATGTTGGGTCGCGGTAAATAATGGCCATGATTTCGCATATCACCATGAGCCAACCGATGGAGCATGAATAGACCGCGGCGGACCACAGCACGGATGGGTATGCAAAGAGAATAAAGGGGCGCACCATGACCTTGAGCCACTTGTCCTTGTTTAGTCGGCCGTGATATGGCCTGAGTTGTTGTCTGAAAGACTCTGCAGGTTCTTGGCGAAGTCTATGCGTGTATGCTTGGGTGGCCAGAGCCATGCCTGTTGAAACTTGACCCCGTTCCGAATCAATATTGGAAGATTTCACGCAGTCGACTTTGCTAGTTTCAACACTCTTGACGGGCCCATCACCTTGACTGCCATGATCTCCTGGTTGATTCACAACCGGCTGTATTTCGTCAGGCGTCATGGTTGTCGTCGTTCCGCCGACAGCGCCGATGGGCATCTCCAACTGTCTGCCATCATCTCCTTTTCCTTGCCCGACACCCAAAGCAGTAGCGGCATTTTCTTGGCCACCGGGCTGTATCGGTCTTGGAATGATTGATACCGGAGGCTCTGGAGGAGGGATGCTCCTTCGTGACGAGAAGCGGCGGAAAAAACTTGGCCGCTTCGTAGGACCCCGTGTTGGTGTCCGATCCCAAAAGGTCTCTGGCACAAAAAGCACCAGAAACATGAAGCTTAAGCATGCCACAATGGTCACGATACTATACGCGGTTAGCTCCTAGTTCAAGAGCCTGACAGGATCGAAATCGCCTGGTCTTCACTAACAAGAATATCCAGCGCCACCCAAATCGCTCAATGATGGCAGAGCTCACGAGGGGAATTAAGTTTTTGCCCCCGAGAAGCAGCAACGTGTATATTCCAATACGGTACGCTCGCTCGTGGAGGAAGAAGATCTCGGCAATGGTAGCGGATGGTAGGCACTCAATGGGGCTCAGGGAAATGCCTTGGACGATGCGAGCAACGACGAGCGACGGAAAGGAAGGGGACAGCCCGGCCCAAATGCAAGTGCCGATGAAGACGACGGCGCTCGCAAGGTAAACGGGTCTTTTGCCGAAGAGAATGGCGGTTGGAGACGCAACCACCGATCCGACGCCAAGGCCTGCCATGTAGAGACCGACTACTAATGAGACGGTTTCCACATTGACATGGTAGTCTTGGGCAATGTCGGTAAATCCGGGGGCCATGAAGGATCCTATGCCGCCTCCAATCATGCAGTAGAAGCCCAGGGACAATAAAGCAGCGTCCCGCCTCCATCCGGGCCAGTTGAGGGGGTCATTTGCCGACTCGTCGGGCTGCGGATCAAGGATAATAGTGCCATCCTGGGTCCGTTTCTTTTCCGGCTGTGCCTGCCGTCTGATGGAGTGTCTATCGGGATCTACTGGGAATCCAGCCGGGATAGACGAATGCGACGTTCGCGCGTGGATGTTTCGTAGACCGAGAGGTTCGTTGCGGTCCGCGGCAAGAAGCAGCACAGAACCTGCGTGTTCAGACTCAGCATTGTCGCATCTTGGTTGATATCCGTCTTTATATTCAACATGTGCAATCGGGTATACACACCTGGAACTTCTATCGTTGTCTTGTCATTGAGAACCCCAAAGCTCCATTTTGAATGAGAAGGCGTCCGCTTTTCTGGCGAGGAGTCGGTGGTGGTGGACTCGTATGTAACTTGTCGTGTGGCAGGAGAAGACATGTCGCAAGGATTTTCTTTGAAAACTTTGAAAATATTCCAAGTCTGCACGGGCTATGTTTATTCTGGTTGCGGAAGGTACATGCTCGTTGATAAGGGCCGGGTATGCGCATGCTCGGCCGTACGCCGCAGGTCTAGAACGATGAAGATGATATTCCATGCCCGGACTAAAAAGACAAATAGCAAATCGTTGCATTTACAACAAAATACTTTTTTTCGGTAAGCTCGGCTACATAGACCATGGCATGAGCCCATTCGATGTGTGTGCGAGCTGTGACAGCAGCCACGCGCATTGGTCTCGAGGAACATCACCACCCACATGGGATGCGACTTTGCGCGTGATTCTCAACTTGACGCCCACACAATGCTCAATAGCAAGATGTAGTGGAGCAGCATAGAAGGGGTCTAGAATTTTGGAAGCGCAAGCCTGGATCATCCCCGAGTCGATGATGACACGGTGTTGCAGGTCCAGTCGGTCGCGCAAACTTTATCGGCTCAGAATGTAGCTGAGCGCCGTGTTCCCCGTATAGAGGCAGATTTATGCCCCCTCCCAATCCTCACTTGGTATGCACACTGACGGTGGTGCAAGTGTCACCTGTGCGACTGGTGCAGCGAGTGGTGTAGGTCTACCTGGATTTTCTATACGCCCAGATGCGGGCAACTTGCCTCTTTTAGCCAGCTGGATAGTGCCGCCTGCTTATTGAGCTGGTCATATGCGCGAGGATCAGTGTGATCAACATTCGTGGGGCACGGGTCGCCGCCTGCGCTCTGATTGTGTTGGCACAGGTTGGGTGAGACATGAGCTTTCAGCTTTAGCACAAGCCAGTCTGCGGATTGCTAAAACTACAGCACGTCTGCGCCGTATGAAAATGAATCATCACATCTGGCCCTGTTGCTGACAGCACGAGACGATGTGTTCTGGATTGCCGAGCTGGGGCGGCCCAGACAGACCTTCCATGGACCAAGTCTCTGCATTAGTCTTTCTAGACTGCTACTTTCCAAATACTGCGTCCGTTACGACCTCGATTGTAGCTCGGATATCTGGCTCGGTTGAGAGTCTTGCGCCGCAGCCGTATTTCCTCTGTTTGTGGTTGGTTCAAAGTATGGAAGGGCCCTTGATACAATGCAACAGCTTGAGCAAACAGAGTTTAGACTCAAACGGCACTTGCCGCCCTGCCGAAGAGGTCTGGTGGGTTGCACTTACAAGACTACGGTAGTATAACTGAGAGAAGTGGAGGTTTTGTAGAAGCAGTTTGACATGATTGTGACCCAGGTCTCTTGAATGGGTGACTACTATTGACTAGTTAGCCAAGTGTGGGAGGCAATTACCTAAAGGTGTGTTCGATCTTTCTGCATGCCAAGGGCCAATTAGCCTTCCAGTGCTGTCATTGAATTCACATCGCTTGGTGGGAGTTGGGGCCTAGTGTTCTGACTTGCTACAAACTATGAGGCGAAAGGCGCATCTGGCGGGAACATGTTCCCAATAAATTGTCGCTTTAAACACTTAATCTCATCAATTTCTCACAGAACTCTGCGCATGTTTGACTTTAGCGCCAGATGGGTTGAGGAGTTGCTCCCTTCTTGTACCAAGCAAGCATCTTGAATCAATATGCACTAGGCATAAGGCAACTCTTACCATCTCAGTAAATTCCACATCCCCTGCGCTGCCGACTGGTGAAATTATTCCTCACGGACGTTTGTTCGTCGTGACGAGTTGCTGGTCTTCTGGGCCCAGAAATCGCCGAGTCTAATAGTGTGTTGCAGGTGCTACATATGTAGTTTTCTGGACAAAACTTGGCGTCGCTCCTGGAGTCACGATAATTTTCGCGTTTTTTTGTTTGGCTTACTCCCACTCGAATTATGTACCATCTTTTTTTCCTTCCATGGTCTGTTCATGAGTTCCATGTACGTCCGTAGTTGTACGAGACGGTTCAACAATACTAGCCAACTACACAAGCCACGGTCGAGGCACGATATCATGAGGGAGGTCTGTTGCTGGCGATGCCACCGTTGAAATGTGAGATCAATATGGAACAAGGCATATTTGAGCGCCCACCGTTGATATCTGAGGAAGTAAGACGCATGGTGATGGAAAGGGAGGAACTCGATGCTACTTTGACAATTGAAAAAGCAACCCACATGTGTTGCCAAGGCCATGAAATATGGTAGAAACAGGCGCGGTAAATGTTCTTGTTCCAAAACTCACAGCTTCGCGATTGTCAAAATTTGCTCGCATCTTCAAGTAGTATCGACGGGATTGATAGAATTGGGACAATTAGCCCAACCCTTACTTGAAGGGAACTCGTTATTGTAGGCATGACTCAACCAAAGCAATGGCTGTGTGGTCGGTCCCGACTGATTGAAACTGCGCTGTAAAGTTGCGGCAACCAAGCAAGCTATCAGTCCGTTATGAGCAAGTATGAATCACAGTGAACCATTTAAACTAATACCGTTTGGTATGTTCTACAAAGGGACCCGCCGAAGCTTGCCTGGAATAGGTCAATTCTCACCTTTAGCGACGATCACCGGTCACATGCAGCTTACTGCACAACATCAAACCCAACGACCGACATTGTAAAGGGACCAAGAACCCCATCCAAAGCAGCGCAATTCTCTCTACGCAGTACCTAGACATTATGATACCAGGAAACCAAATGCTAGACAACAATCTCCTTGATGTGCTGGGTAACCAACCATCCCTGCACAAATTATACACCCAGATAGCGTCCATCTACGCCGTCACCGATCCCGAGGTCCACGGTCACATCATCAATACTCTGAGAAACGGACTCGAAACATTAGCAGAGAGCTTTCCATGGCTCGCAGGCCATGTCATCAACGAAGGGGCCAGCGAAGGTGTCACGGGAACTTACAGGATCATACCGACCGACAAGATCCCGCTCGTCGTCAAGGATTTGCGCGACGACGCCTCAGCACCAACCATGGGCGCGATGCGGCAAGCCAGGTTTCCCTTTCGCATGCTGGACGAGAGCGCCATTGCTCCATGCATGACCATCAACATGCCCGGCATGCCCATCGGCCTAGTTGACGACCATGGGCCGGTTTTTGCCGTCCAGGCAAACTTCATCCAAGGCGGCTTGGTCTTGACCATGGTCGGACAACACAATGCCATGGACATGGTCGGGCAGAACAACATCATCAAGTGGCTGTCACGAGCTTGCCACGGTGATGCCTTTTCACAAGAGGAACTGGCAGTCGGCAACATGGACAAGAGCCAAAGTGTTCAACTCCTAGACGCCGCGTGGGAGCCCGGCGCCGAGATTGAGCATCAGCTGCGGAAACCGCCCGTTGCAGGATCCGACGAGAGCACAACGTCTCCAGGCACACCTCCCAGATTATCTTGGAGCTACGTCAATTTCCCCCCGGCGTCGCTGGAAGCCCTCAAGTCCGAGGCGACGGCCACCAAGCCTGCCAACTCGGCCTTTGTGTCCACCGACGACGCCGTCTGCGCATTCATCTGGACATGTCTCTCCCGAGCCCGGGCAAACCGCCTCCCCGCCGACGCAAGTACCACCTTTGCGCGTGCCGTCGATGTACGCTCACGGTTGGGCCTACCGGCCACGTATCCAGGGGCCCTCACCAACATGACGTACAACCGGTCGTCGGTGGGAGCAGTGGGTGCACAGTCGCTGGGCTCCGTGGCATCTGATCTTCGCAAACAGCTCGACCCCAGCGTCGTAGACGTGGCATATAACACCCGCGCCCTCGCGACGTTTCTCAGCCGCTGCGCAGATAAAAGCCAGATCGTAATCACTGGGTGTGTAGATGCTTCGTCGGGCGTCATGCTCAGCTCATGGGCTGGCGTTGATCTTTACGACCTGGACTTTAATCTTGGACTGGGACGGCCCGAGGCAGTGCGGCGACCGGGCTTTCTCCCTGTTGAGAGCTTGATGTACATTATGCCCAGGTCTCCGCGTGGTGAGATGGCGGTGGCCATGTGCATCAGGGATGAGGACTGGCAACGACTCGAGGACGATGAGGAATGGAGCAAGTTTGCCGAATTTATCGGGTAGCCGGCTGCACTTGTATGGCACATGGGGCAGTGGGATGAAGAAGAGTTCAGTTTAGACCAAGACATGGTATTCGTTGGCGTTCGTAGGAAAGCTTGGAGCTATTGTACTTTGTTCGTCTTTGCGATGGCTGTAGTTTCGATGCTGGGTCATCTACTCGCAGCCCAGTGCGATATGACAAACTACCGTGCCACACTACCACGTAGCCTACGGCCATTATCAAAGTTGTCAATGAGGAAACACCCTACGCAGCATCTCGGAAGCGGCGTCACCAACTCTATTTAGCGAACATTGAAGCTGAGCACTTGTAGTGTTTAGCACAAACTCTTCACGTCGTGGCATTCTCGAGACGTACAACTTCAGCCGTAGCATTCCCATTACGACACGGTCAGAATAGTTACACACTTGAAAGTCTGGGCTGAAAATTGGAGACGACGTGTCCGGTTCAATAGCGACAAGTTACAACACGCGCGTCGGACCTGATGCGGCCTGCTACAGGGACAGAAAACTCTGCTACGTCCTGGAGCATAGTGCGCTCTAGAACACACACGATGATGCTGCTCTGGCTGATGCTCTCTATCAGTTCATCTAGTATTGACTGCATTTGGGGCAGCCCTGCGCGCATCTCCAGGGCTGGGCTGACCGTTTGTGTGACCAGAGTTTCCGCCACATCAAAACAGTACGGCATCGAGACTCCGTACTCGGCATTGTGGCCGATCGAGAGGCGTCAGGCTAAAGGCTGTTGGCATGGTCCCAGTATTGTTGCCCACTGAGGCTTTGAACTTTTGGTTACCAATGTATAAGTTGAAAGTTGATGGCGTCGGTGGCGTGTAGCTCCACAGCGAGGATATCAACCCAAATAACCCTCATTTCGTTGCCATGTCGATTCTTGCATGTCGAGCCGTCTACATTCGCGGCGTATCATGACACTGGAGGCCGTGTGCGGCACAAGAACACGCGTTATTCTTCATTCTCTTTGACGGCGGCTGATGATGTCCTGGTGGGTGTTTTGCCTTGATGTGCGTGGTGTTGTGCCAGCGCGCCGCGCAGCAATAAATGCTGTCTTGTTGCAATTGACTTTTACCAGTGCCTCTCCTTTTCAGCTGGGCGGGGTTGCCAACTCTATTTTGAAAGTGTTGTCGTGGGCATACATATACTTGGAGATTATAATTTTTAGACACTTGAGTATATAAGAATATACTAGTTATTCTCGCCAATACAAGAGTATCTTTAAGTATCCTCAAGTATCATGAAAAAAGTGGGTTGAATACATCAATTGGAGCTGCGCACATGCAAAGGCATACACATGTACCGCGCCGTTGTACTTTCATAGTCTCCCTTCTGTCCCCAAGTCGAATCGTAACAGAAACCCTCGAGCTCTTTGTGAGCTGATGGCAGGTATAAACTTGAGCAATCAACGGAGTAGGATTACAAAATGCCAACAGCCAACGCCACCAAACTCCACCGTATCAACGTACCAGATCAACAGCCACAACTTGGCCAACGGTCGGAATTGAATCTTAGTAATTACTACCATGGCTACTCCGTAGATTCCCCCGCCATCAGGATTCGGTGTTTCAATACCCAGCACGGGATTCTCAATGCGACCGCAAGGCATCATCAAATGCAGCAGCTACAGCTCGTCGTTCAAGGATCGATACAACGCCTGGTTTTGGCACACAGCCGATGGCATCACCACCAGGGCTTCACCCCCTCAAAGCCTGCTGCATCGCTCACGGCCAAGCCAGTCTATCGTTTGTGGCGGCTTGGTTCGTGCGCGATCGTGGACGCCGAGCCGCACTTGGGCCGCGGCACATAATGTTCCCTCTGACAGCTCCCTGCTCCGGGGTTTTCCTTCTTCACGTCGCCAACTCGTGTGCCTCCCTGTCAGGCGGTCCAGTGGGCATCTCGTGAACCTGAGACCAGTGCTGCCCCCCGTGGGCGTGGCCGACACTGCTGGGGGAGTAAGCCGGCGTCGGCGCTTGAAACGGCGTGGAAGTGACGCTCTCCGTTACGCTGGAGACTGGATAAGGACTGGCGTATGAGTACTCCGAGACAAACGGCTGCTGGGTAGGACTGAAAGCCCTCTTCTTTCGCCGCCGACGAAGGAGCATGAAGGCTGAACCGAGAATCGCCAAGCCAGCTGCAAAGGTCAGCTTTACTCGTTCAATGTGCAGCCAGGTCCCCGCTTACCGACTCCTCCGATGACGCCTCCTACAATGGCGCCCACTGGCGTTGACGATGAGTTTGGCGGTGGTGGTGGCGGCGGCGGCGGCGTCGTCGTCGTCGTTGTACTGGTCGACGTGGTGCTACTGGGGGTTAGAGTGTAGCCATTAGTTGTCGTGTCACTGCTGCCTGTCTCAGTAGCATGATAGTAGATGGGAAAAGTTGTCGCGGCAGTCGCACACCTCTGAAAGGTGTATCCGAGGAACGACGAGTCTGCGTATTGAACGATTGCGCAAAAGGGGCTGGCTGTGTTGGAGCTATGTTCTCAGAGCATTTAGCAATTTCACATTACTCTCATTACAGAGTGTATCATTGATGCCGTGTCCCTTACCAGTATAGGGTATAACTCAAGTCGGCGCCGCTTGCTGCTGCCGAAGATTCTAGGGGGAGACATGTTGTCGGGAATTTGCATGGACTTGTCGTTGTACAGCAGCCGAAAGCCTTGTATTGCGAATAGGTAGCGCAGAAATAGGAGCCTCCGCAAGTAAATGCCTGGTCTGGGGAACATGTCAAGGTTAGCTCAAGGACGTGAGACACGTGTGAGAGTCTTGACCGTGAAATCACCACGTACTGGCGTCGCCATACAGATATCCGCACGTGTGAAGCTGTGCTGGCGAAGTCGTCGCGCGTCCGAATATTGCTAGATGGTCATGAGGGACAGCAGCGATTGTCGGGCTGGGGCCGGCTTGATATGTTTCTTGTAGTTGTGGCTCCGTGGTCGGTTGGAGCATTGATCTGGCGCTGGCCAGAGGATGCTTGCGCGATACGACGAGTGCGACGAGGGCATAGCGTCGCGACGAAACCATTTCGTTGCTGTCTGGTACGCGGGTAAGAAATAATATGCTTCCAATCCGCGATGGGTTGATCTGCGAATTGTCACAGCGTATGTGTCTAACTTTATAATTTCCATCTTGTACGCGCTTCGTCTGCGTAGCAGCTGAACCACAGGTGCCGCCACACGCGTAGATGGCCTATCCAAAGCCAATAGTAGTAAACGAATATTGGGAGCTTTGGTCCGTTGGCTTCAAGGCGTGGCCACCATTGAACGACAAGTCAAGGACTTGGCCTTTGGTCTAGAACCAGCTGAGCACGTCACCAAATCCGAGACGCCTCCAAAAATTCCCACAAATGTATTGCTACATCTAGATCACCTTGCTACGACATTGAGCAAAGTTGCTATATCCGTATAGAGAAATCTGCTTCTCTTGGTAAGCACCCAGATCACCATTTCCATCACTCATAGGGGTTGAGAGTCTAGGGCTAACCTAGAGTTGATTTCGCCTGCTCTTCCCTGTCAAACGAGCTGGTGCCGATAGCTGCTAGGTTTGCACTCTTGCCCAGTAGTAGTGTCCTAGCTATCTACATAACCAGTTATTTGGACTATTACACATAAATATAGATGAAAAAGTCGAAGACATCTACTTGTTAAACAAACTTGACGTCACTCGTTAAAGCTGGAATAAGTTTGGCAACGTATTATATCTTGGCCACTAGAAAACGATACCTCTAAGAGTTACACACGATACCTCTCTACACAAACCGGCCCCATCACGCGCTCCCACAAATCCATCTTCAGTATTGAAAAAAGTTCGTGGGGCCCAACATGACATCTTGACAGGACGATTGTAGAAACAATAAGGGTTAACGAGACCTGATGTAACTTGTGCTTAGAGGAGGAGAATGGCAAGAAAGGCGCCGAGGACAGCCCCCAATCCAGCCTTTGTCTTATCGGCAGGACCTGGACTTGGCGGGCTTGTGGGTTGCTGACCCCCAGGAGACTGCTGGGCAGCGCCGCCACCTTGCCCGCCAGGTTGGCCCGGTTGGCCCGGTTGACCAGGTTGACCAGGTTGACCAGGTTGCTCAGCGTTGGCTGGGCCGGCTTCCCCGGGTGGCTGAGCACCGGCAGGAGCGGCGCCGGCTTCACCAGGTTGCTCAGCAGTGGCAGGAGCGGCGCCAGCTTGCCCAGGTTGCTCAACATTGGCAGGGCCGGCTTCTCCAGGTTGGTTAACAGGCTCAGGTTGTCCGGTGCCTCCTCCCGGCTGGCCGCTGGCTGGCTGTGGCAAACCACCGCCGCCTCCGGGCGCACCGGGAGCACCTGGAGCACCTCCGGGACCACCACCACCAGGAGCGCCCGGAGCACCAGGGCCGCCTCCGGGAGCACCACCTCCAGGAGCACCGGGAGCGCCCGGAGCACCAGGACCGCCTCCAGGACCACCACCACCAGGAGCGCCCGGAGCACCAGGGCCGCCTCCGGGAGCACCACCTCCAGGAGCACCGGGAGCGCCCGGAGCACCAGGACCGCCTCCAGGACCACCACCACCAGGAGCGCCCGGAGCACCAGGGCCGCCTCCGGGAGCACCACCTCCAGGAGCACCGGGAGCGCCCGGAGCACCAGGACCGCCTCCAGGACCACCACCACCAGGAGCGCCCGGAGCACCAGGGCCGCCTCCGGGAGCACCACCTCCAGGAGCACCGGGAGCGCCCGGAGCACCAGGACCGCCTCCAGGACCACCCCACCGCCACCGGGGGCACCAGGAGTTCCAGGACCACCTCCGGGACCACCGCCGCCGGGGGCACCAGGGGCACCAGGACCACCTTCAGGACCACCGCCGCCAGGAGCACCAGGAGCACCGGGAGCACCTCCGGGACCACCACCGCCGACCGGGCCAGGCAGACTCTCGGGCGGAGTACCTCCCATCTCGGGAGGAACTGCCGGTGGTGGACCACCCTCAGGCGGCTGTGGTACCGGCTGCGGTACAATAGGTGGCTGAGGCGGTGGGGGGCCCGGAGGTGGAGGTGGTCCTGGAGTCTTGGTCGTTCCAGGCGATGTTGCTCTAGTTTTACTCTCCGTTGTAGCCTGTGTTCTGGTGCTCCTCGATTTAACGCTTTCGGAGCGAGTGCGGGACTTGCTTCTCTCACTCGTAGACCTTGCTGTAGGCTTGCTGGTCAGGGGACGCTTGCTACTCTCATGCTTGGAACTTGGACGCCTGCTGCTCTCACGCTTGGTGGTTGAGACAGGTTTCTTGCTGCTCTCATGCTTAGTGCTTGTAACAGGCTTGGTAGTCTCATGCTTGGTGCTTGGCGGAGGCTTCTTGCTGCTTTCATGCCTAGAGCTTATAGCAGGCTCGGTAGGCTCATGCTTGGAAGTCGGAGGAGGCTTGCTGGTCTCATGCTTCAAGGTGGTTGTAGCAGGCTTCTGGCTCTCTAGGTTCCAGGTTGGGACAGGCTGCTTGTTCTCAGGTTTCCAAGTCGCAGCAGTCTTGTCACCATCATGTTTTGGGTCTGGAGCAGGATTGATAGTATCTGGCCCAAGTTAGAATACTTGTAGAATTTTTTTGCTAATGTCAGCAAGAGCCTTACCAGCGGCAGCAAGTCCAGACGCCAGGTAGGCGGCAACCACAAGCTGAGTGACCTTCATTTTGACTCGTGGTCTCGGAGCAAGATAGCAAAATGAGCTTGGGCAAATGTCAATGAACTCGGTGAAGTGAATGACTGAAAAGCTCGCAAGTTGTCACAACTTGTTGCCGATAAGACGAACCGTATGGTAATTTAGGCCTACGTGCCCTCACATCTTTATAGTCGTCTGAGGAGCTCGACAAGCATATGAGATATGCCTGTCTGCTGCCGGACTGGGACATCACATAGCTTAGTCCACGTTGCATCGAAATACAAGGCAGTGAAAGAATCTACCGGAAACAGAATAGAATCCCCGAAAACAGACAGAAAAACTTGCAAAAATCTATACTAATACGCCCGGAAGCGTAGATTTGTTATAAATCGGCTACAGTGTCGTTGATGTGCTGCGGGCCAGCCCTGCGTCCACAGCGGATGAAGTCATGGCTCTCGCCTCGGTGACTGGTGCAGAAGGCCACGCCACCATCTTGGAATACCAGCCACTGCTAAAAGTGTTGAGGAGTCTATTCAGTCAAATACCAAAAGCAATGGTCTTCAAAGACAAAATGTGCAGTGGAGCAGGAGAGTGGTTATGGCGCAAACTCAAAATACCGCCGATGGCTACGATAGACTTTCGGAAAATTCTAAACTCCAAGATTTGAAGAGAGCCAAACTAAAACTTTCCTCCGTAGGTTTAGCAGAAGGAGAGGGCCGTTAAAGTTAATTATTGGACCTCAGGGGAGCCCGACACATGAGTTGCTCGCGGCCTTGAGGCACCCTACAACGTTAAGCCAGGCAAGGAACAGAAACGAGTCATTCTGAGAACTAACCAAATAACGAACATAGAATGGGAATATTCCCATTGTTACGCGGTCGCTCGCGTTGCCCATTGTATGCAGCGCCAAATAGCGAGTCGGAAGGCTAACATAATGGTGCTCAACGTGCAACACAAGGTTCCAAAAATTTTCGTCAAAGTTAGACAATGACATAACAGGAACCAGTTTCAGGCAGTTCAAGTTATTTATCAACCACTCGTGAAAACGGCATCAATCGTTGTCTTGGCCTGCCCTCACGTTGCCTCTGGCGCAGATGGAACTTGGTCTGATGAGCGGCGAAAGCCTTCCTATGACGGAAGAAATTCAATACCCTAGCCATGAGATGGCTCAGGTTGGTATCGGAGCACGAAATCAGCAGTGGCTATTTCAACAGTTCATACGAATGCAGGAACATAGTTTTGATACATCCAAGACAAGATCAGGCGTTGGCGTTGCCGCTTTGATGAGTTCGTGAGGGGATGCAGTATGCGGTCTGCTGAAAGCAACGGACAGCACTCAGTGTAATGAGTAGCCGCCTCATCGTCCAAATCATCAGACAGATAGTGGTATAAGAAAATAGAGGCCGAGAACGGAGTCTCAAACATGATTTGCGGCCATCGGATGATTTCGGTAGGAAAGGAGTCGCGGCGTGATGAAAAACAGACGAGATAGTACCATGTAAAACGCCATGTCAGTTCTCTAAGCATACAATGCATTTCCCATATCAGATGACGACCGGAATGATGGCTGGCTTCTGTCAATCCGATGATGCTTCGCTACTAGCCAAGGTAAGAGCGTGGCTAAGCCCTCAAAGTTTATGCATCAAGATTGACTTTTTGTCCACCAATCCTCCCCTAACCCACTAAAATCTCGGACGGGAGCTTCAAAGACCTCTTCGAGTCAACCAAGGCGTGGCTACAAACGACACAAAGCTGAGCATTGACGCGTAGGGCTTTGGCATGCGATTCAAGTAAAGCAGTCAAGGATTGAAACTAAGTAGGATAGACTCTTTTCAAACACCTTCTCGGAACACTTAGCCATTCACCACAATACCTCCGTTGGGATGTAGTGTCTGTCCACTCATAAACTGACTGTCATTCGCCGCGAGGAAGACGTAGCTGGTGGCAATCTCAACTGGCTGGCCAATTCTATCCATTGGCGTCCAATTGCCCAACCCATGTCCATGCTGCCCGGACTTTCCCACACCTGAAGCAACCAATGGGGTCCAAACTGGTCCAGCGGCAACGGCATTCACACGTATGCCCTTCTTGATCAGATGATTGGACAAGGAGCGAGTGAAGGCGATAATAGCACCCTTGGTAGTGGCGTAGTCGAGTCTGCTGGGAACACCAATATACGAGTCTACCGAAGCGCTATTGATGATGGAGCCGTTCTTGGCCATAAAAGGCAAAATAGCCTTGGTTAGATAGAAGTAGGAATCGATATTAACGCGAAAGGTAGAAGCCCATTGTTCTCTTGTACGAGTTAGCATGTGGGGAAAACAGTTGATAGAACTGGTGAATAGACATACTCGGATATGTCGAAAATGGTGCCTTTTTCGTTTCGAGTAGCGGCATTGTTTACTAGAATATCAACCGTGCCAAATGCGGCTTTGATCCTTTCTGCCACATCGGTGCAGTTGACTGAGTGGCTCAAGTCGCTGGAAATGAGAACAATCTCCCCTCCATTCTTTTCTACCTGGGCCTTTGTGTGCTGCGCATCCTCTTCTTCGGCGGGTAGATACACGACGGCCACTTTGGCCCCTTCCATGGCAAAAAGAATTGCCACAGACCGGCCAATTCCAGAGTCTCCGCCAGTAATCACGGCATTCTTGCCTTTGAGCTTCCCACACGGGATGTAGGGGGCTTTCCCTTCCTCTGCGTGCTGGAGGTGGACCTTGGTAGGCTTTGGTGCCATGTCTCGCTCAAGACCAGGCTTGTCTTGGGTGGTGCCGCCTTTATCACCAGATGCTGGGTGGACGACTTTTTGAACGGCTTCTTTTGCGGCTTCCATTGTAAATCAAGATTCCGGGGTTTGATTTCAGAAACAAGGTAGACTGAATGATGAGTTTCTTTGACTGGATTCAAACAAGCCTCATCGTTGGCATTGATGGTTCTTATATCCGCTTATCTCGAACGCGATGAAGCAGGTTGATGCAACCTGTTCCCAAGGTTATACTCCCTTGACGTCAGGAGAGGTGAGAGAGAAAGAAGACAGTTAATGAATGATATCATTCTGTGTTTTGGGGACGGAAGATTCCGTGATGACTTGATGTATGGTCGACGTAATGAGTACGTAGAGCATGTATGCGGGACAAGGCGGGTTGTTCATGGTGACGAAGACTTTCCAAACAGATGGCACCCTCTACAACTATTTCGAATGTAAACCGTGTTATAAAAATGTCAATATGACGTCGCCGTATGATTGAGAGAAAATCATGGTGGTCTTGACTACTTGGGCCACGTCAAGGGTGATTTTTTAAACATGATGTAAGCGTGTCATTATGACACCACGATTTCTACCACCGCCACCCTGCAGTGACCACAGAGGGAAACAAAATGAAGTAGTGAACCAGCACTTATAAATATGGCGAGTTACTCGTGATAGCAGACGCTCTTAATTCCCGCTGGACGCGCTTTCATACACATCACATCTACTACCTCATTACGAATCATTGTCACATCTCAACTTACTGCCAATCGCCCTAGTTTCTTTGCAATACCTCCATCCACACCACGTGTGTCATTTACTAATCAAATAACCATCGCTCCTAGACTCGCGAGGTGCATCACGACATGACTAGTCAACAAACAACGGCCGGAGCTCAAGGCGGCCTAAACCAGCCAGGCCCGGCGCCAGGCACGGCAGGGCCACACCGTCACGATATAATCAACAAGCTGGATCCTACCGTCGACAGCCAAACTGGGGGCGCCCAGGTCCTGGCGTCAGGGATGAATACATCAGCGCGAGGAGCTACCGCCGCACAGCCGCCTGCTGCCCAGGCCGCTGCCCATGTTGAAGGCGGCAGCAACAAGAATGAGCCAAGACACATCTCCCGCATGGGCAACGTTCTCGATCCGCGGGTAGACAGCAGCAAGATTCCAGAGAGCGGCCTGGGAGAGCGCCAGGCTCCCGGAGCTTCCACCACATCGTCAGCCAACGCTCCAGAGGGCACGCATGGACCGCACTCGACTCGAATGGCAAACACTCTGGATCCCCGCGTCGACTCTGACCTTTCCGGCAACAAAGGGGGCGTGCCAGCGCAGGGCCAGGCTACTGAGGCGCAGCCTGCCCCTACCACGACCGGTCCGCATACCACCGACACGATGAACAAGCTGGATCCGACTGTGGAAAGCCAATCTGCCCAGCCGCAGGCGCCACATAGATCTGTCTAAGTCATGCCCTGTATGTTCTAGTTTGTGATTATTTCTGGCGTTTGTCTCTCTTTAAAAGCGTGACAGGGACGTGTTGTACGATGCGACCCAACCGTCGGGTTTCTGGAGAGGCAACTGACGGAACCCGGAAGCAGCTGGTTGAGTCGACTACAGAGCCGGCTCTTGTTATTCAGTTCAGGAGATAAAGGACCTGATTCTCTACGAATTCGAGGAGCAGAGGCATATCGCTCTTTTGGCACTGTCCGCCTCGGGAAGTGTGCATAATCTTGATAGTTTGATAAGTACCTAGTAGTAATTTTATGTGGGACATGTTGCGCAGAAACTTCAATGGCATTCGTGTCATGACATCCGTGTTTTGGGCAATTCTAGAAGGGCTTCTTGTTCCATGTTGTTGAAGAGCCAATTGCCCGAAGCCAATGTCTGGACTGTAACGTCGTCCGGATTATCCGAGTCTATCCAGTCAAGATTTCTGTTAGGTCTGCTCTGGTCCTTAGCCGTGCTCCTTGGCACGATCAAAGGATTAAAGTCGCCTTACAGAGGGGCTACAAATCGAGCCAAGTCGAACAGCACCAGACATAATGCTCTGTGCAAGACGTTCACCCCGCATAACCGCAGCCGGTTTCGGATAACGTTGCTCGAGTTCTAAAACTCAATCAAGGCACGCGCTGGACAGACAAGTGTCTCGATACGTATAGCAAAGAATTTCGATATCACAATGTTGGGGGAAAGCATCCGCCAGATTTATCGCGGAAACTTGCTGCCTTGACGGCCTCGCAACGTCACGATGCTGCAACTCCAGCCCCGGGGGACTGGTCTCGCAGGCGACAAGCCCATGTGCGGATCTTTGCCAGTTGAGGCTTTCGGTCTGCGATAGTCAAGCCAATCATGCTCGGCGGAGGTGTCCCCGGACGTGACTGATTGCCGCACCCAAGAGCTGGCGACGTCCACCGTGGGTATAAATCCCATGGACTGGAACTCCCTTCACCGCATTGCCGTCTGCAATTTGTGCATCATGTTTCCTTTGTTGGGGTTTATAGGCGTACATCGTATACCTACACCCGTCATGTGGTATGCTACTTTAAGCATCCGTGATGTCACAATGTCGTGGCTACTGCGCCTCAAGAGCGGTCTCCGAGGAACAAATGACGTCGCTGCACTATGAAGTCAGACCGTCGCCCTTTTCGGTTTCTAGCAGTCTCTTTGGGCACGGTCAAACCAATCAGATGTGCTGGAGGCATTCCGAGTAGTTCAAACATTGAACCTAAAGGTAGCGCTCCCGCGTCAGGGGCTTAGCGATGGCGTAGGCTGTACGAACCAGCACGAGGGATACGCTCTGACAGGTCTTCTCTAGAATGACAGGTCATAATGCCTGTTCCGTAGGTTCCGTCATCTGAATTTCTACCGCCGCCTTGGCGGGTCAGTTGGAACAAAGCATCTTGAACTCGGACCATCCTCCGGCGTTTTCAGGCCACAGCGTCGCCATGATGCAGTAATCAAGTTTTTTTGGATGTTGATCATGATGGAATATACTGGAATCTGTCCGTCCAAGCCATTCCACCCAGCCACATAAATACAAGGTGGTGACGGAATAATTCTATGTATTCCCATTTCAATAAGAGACTACGACAATTATATGCCCTAGCTTGCCTTAAGAACGGGATACCAGACCAAGTCCAGTTCCCTCAAAGCATCAAGGTCCATTGTGCATTTATTCTAAGACACGGTATAGTCATGAAGCCGTCAACTCTTCCATATGACAACAGCGAATTTTATGGGATAAAAACCCCACAAGGCAAAGTCATGGTGTCTACCAATCTCCTCGTGGCCTCTTGCAACACGACCGATGAGAACTGGAGACTCCTTTCGTATCACAATCAGCACACCCAAGGCATCATGCCCGCGACATATCCGACAGCGATCAAGGCCAGCCCCAACCTTCCTGGATATGTGGCCCCGGTAGGCACCGGGCCACTGCCGTTACCGTGCCCGGGAGCTGGCATTGCTCCATTTGGTAGTTGCTCGCCCCTCGAGACAAGTGAGGCGCGGCCAGCTGATGCTCCCGCTTATTCTACCGATCTGGACGTCGCCACGGAAACTATACCGTCGTCTCCATGTCAATACAAGATGAGTTACACCCCGACGGGGCGTGTTTTGCCAGCTCCGTGGCATCCTAGATGTGCAACGTCGGCTCTTGCGCCAAAGAGTCACAGCATGGCTCCTGAGGCGGGTCTGGTACAGAAAGATAACGAGCCAATTCCCTCATACATGACGCCGCAGGCTATCAGGGCAAGAAATATTATACTTGCATGTCCCCTCCGAACAAAAAGACCCAACAAGGTCGCTCGCGCACCTCGACCCAGCGCCCGGCACGTCTCCTACCCCGAGAACCCCGAAATGCTAAAACGACGGAAGCCGGATAGGTGTTTCTGTAGTAGATGTTTGCGGAGGATGATACGGCCGAGTTGCTAGTAGAAGATTTACTACATTTAGCTTGGAGTCGGAGGAACATTTCTTCTGTTGCTTTTTTCTTCCTTTCTCATTTTTTTTATAAGGGGGGCCGGTTCGTAAATTCCCAGTGTACTGTCCTTCTTGTGTGTAGAGTATTTTTGACACAGTCTCTTGATGAATTTTAGATCGTTTTCTATTTCTGTGGTATCAACGCCAATCTTTCAGTTATATTTGGTCATAGTTACTGTGATTGGAACACATTTTGTTCCCCCTCCCCAATGCAACAAGAAGCCGAAACCTTGGGAATCGATGCAAGATCAAAAGCCTGCTAGCAACGGTGCCAATTTGGACCAAACGCTAAGAATTACCCTCGTCTTGTCTTCCACGGCAAACGTGCTTCGGGGCGTTTTGTGGGAGCCCCGGGCTTCCCGCAGCGCACCACGACAGAAGAGTGGAAGGAGTTTCGTGAGCTTGCCCCATGACCACGCGGCCATCATGAAGGAGAGAGGGCAATGTTTGCAAGATGACTACATTGCCGAATCCGCTGTGGATATCTGTCACGCAGTACCCAGATTCCTCAGGTGACTTGAAGCTGGTTCCTGGCAATATTCGCCGCCGGATGTGCGGAGCCCATCTTGGTAAGCAGCAGGCGCGCATGATCGGTCGCCGACATTGTGATGTACGGAGATGCTGTCCTTACATTGCCTTCATCCGGACTTGGAGATTGTTGCACGGCCATCATTTCATCCTCCTGTGCAGTGTGCTGTAGGCGTAGGTGCACCGAGCTCATGGACCTGCCCTCCGTTTCCATACTCAGACCAAGCATACCCGCGGTGCAAACGAAATACGGCATGAGTCCAGACACGCGGCGAAGAGTAAAAAGGTCATCGTAGGACTGGGTCAGGGCTAGGACGGACTGCGCAGTCTCCTTGCATATCGTGAATGGCCGGATGTCGGTGCTTCCCATGTCCTTGCCGATGAGGGGCCGGAAGGCACACAGAAGGCAGTAGTGGTAATATATGCTGCATCATGGTTAGGTGCCTGTGCCCCTTTGCCGGTGTCATGTGCTTACTGGGCGAATAGTACAAACGGCGTTCTGCCGCAGTCACTTTCGGCATAGGCAAACAACTCCTTGTACCAGTCCAGACACTTCTTGTAGAAGGCCCTCACGTTACCCGAGCCACTTCGGATGCTTGAGCGAGCCAGCGCTATGAAACTGTACACCCATTCGGTCAACTCGAAGATCTTGCCCGAGATGAACTGCATGCCAAGCATCTGCAAGTTGCGCCCTCCTGGGGTCAAGGCTGCGATCCTGTTACCCAGCAGACTCTCGACTACTTTGTCTCTGTCTTCGAGTACGCACCTGGACTAGACCCACGACCGCCGTTTCTAGTTTGCATGATCGGATGTAGCGTATTCAAGATGGATACATGTGCTTGGGCGGTGGACAGTTGAATGGTAAACACGCGCCCCGTGGTCAAAAGTAACATGCTGCAAAACATGTCAAATAGCCACCCAACACAAGTCATGGCATCTTTTATTCACATACCGAGACAGCGATACCGCCCCACAGTAGGTAATGTCCAGCACTCTCTCGTATTGCTCACCCTTGTTGCGAACTGAAGAGTCGGGGTCGTGATACTCTTTAATATTAGCCATGAAATTTTCAGCATACTCTTGCGCCTTGGCTTCTTGTCCACATCGCAGGTGATAGAGTGAGAGTACTCCGATTGCTTGTATATCCGGAAGGACCTTGGTCCGGTGTTTGTGCAGCTTTGCATTAGCCTGGTCAAAAAAGGTTTTGCTCCCAATCCACCCAGATGGGAGAACGTCAAGTTCGTCCTTGTCTTCGTTTACCAGGCGACATGCCAGTGCTAGGATAGCGCACACCAATGCCGAGGAACAAAACTGGCTCGAGTCGCTATAGAAGCTCTGCAGAAAAAGATCGTGAGATAAAAGGCTGAAAGGGAGGTAGTCCCAAGAAAAAATGGCGTCGATGAGGTGATGTATGTGCGCCTTTGTCCATCCTATCTGAGTCCACCTATCCTGATGCCAGTGAGACACGTAGGCGTCGAGCGGCCGCGGGGGAAGAGTCAGTATGGTTGACTCGTCTGTGTCGGCCGGCAGCCCGTTGTTCCTTGAAGCAGGGCGGCAGTACTTCCACGAGCGCAATTGTTGGAAACATGAACTGGGAGAAGCGTCGCTCGCAATGCCAGGCGGCGTCGTGGTACTGGTTTCATTGCTTTGGACAAGTATGCTCCCAACGTCTACGCCACGCCGAATCTTTTCAAAGACTTGTTTTGCATCTGATTCGTTTGTAACTTGGAGAAGCCCATAGAGTTTCTCATATATGGTGTTGGTTGCTTCCATCTCCTCGAATCTCCTCTTCATGGCTTGCAAATGTGTCTCGCCCGACCTGTCCGTTTCGTAGAGACAAGTGTCGCCTTTGGTCGCGCAGCTTGCACACGTCGGGCGCTCCCCGCTACACTATCAACATGGTTTCTTAGCCACCAAGCAAGATTGCAAAGAGAAGTCACTGCCATACTTTGGACTTTCGCCTTTGACAAGCCAAGCACGCAGATTTTGTCGGGTGTTTGCGCCGCCCTGATGTCGACGCCGAGGTTGGGGGTGCCAGGCCATGCCGACGGTCTTCGGGCTTACTCGGGAGTAATCGTCGAGGTTGGTGGGCTTTGGAGCTGCTCTGCCTCCTCTTGCGTGCCATAATTCCAGAGGTCCCTTGTTCTGACTCGGGGCCAAAGAGGATATACAAGGGTCCGAACGGGGATCTCAAGACACCGGGAGAGAAATGCGCCGGATGCGTTCGAGTCTGGTGTCGATCTGTTACCCCACAGCACTCCAATTTTTCTACCGTCAGGCTCGGTGCCGCCAGCTGGTGAATTGCGGGGCACGAGTTGCACTATACCTAATCAGTGCTCGCGTCCCGGCACAGGCCGCACGTGATACGAAGAGCTGGTCAAGTCATGGCCAAACAGAACGCGCAGCGATTCCCTGACGTTCATGCTCTAGTCACCGAGACCATTCGTAAAAAAGAGATGGCTACTACCAGCTACCCAACCGCCCACCACACTTGCCTTTTGATTTGTCCAAACCTAAAACTAATTGTAGCTAGGGTACGCGAATCAGGACGACGAAGAACTATACCGAGAATAGCACACGCGTCGACTCAAAATGACGAACACAAAGCACAACTGTGGGATCAAAAGGTATCAGGGGAAGTCGCTGTGTTGGAAAGACTAGCCGCCAAGGTCGCTTTGAATCTCCGGATGTGACATCTTCCTGTTGTGCAAATCCGCATAGATCGCATCCGACTCATCCGGCGACAAATGCTGCATCCTGTCAAGGTCGTCCTTTTCCAGCCGACTCAACGTCTCAACCGGATCCTCTCCATGTTCAACCTTCTTGTCCTCCTTACCAAGTCCAGTCTTGTGTCCAATCAGCAAGATTTGCGCGCGGGGATAATCCATAAACTCAGGCTGCGCTCCCACCCAGCGCAAGTCCCCGAACTTGTCAAGCACCCTGCCAGACATTGTCAGATGCCGCACTTGAAGCTGCTCTCTCGAGTGTCGGTGCGCACTTACGATGGAGGGTACTCTGGTCCCTTTGGTAACTGTGCAAACGACGGCCCCTTGTACGTCGGATTCTTGCTACTGATGATGAAACTCCCCTTGTCGTTGAATCGCAGCGCATGTTGCAGCTCACCCAGCTCATGGGGCAGAGTTGCCATGTACGAAAGGTGACTCTCGCGCCCCGTGGTCGTAAGAACATACACGCCTTCCCCTACGGGCGTTGCATCAGGAGATTGACGACGTCCCGCCGTCTTCGTCTCGTAAACGTCTCCCTTTAGAAACTTGGCGCCAAGCTCGTCATACGACACGTGTGATTTTTCGACAAACGCCATGAATCTGTCCTTTGGGCTTGCAGGTAGCGCCTTTTTTGGCAAAGCGATAAGTCTGGCTGTAGCTGACGTGGGGAGTGCACCGTGGAGCTTTGCGTCGTCGGGGATGGGCCGAAGGATGAGATATCCTCTTGCGATGTCGTCGATGGACTTGGGTTCATCGATGCCAACCCGGCCACGGATAAAGTAGTACAGCACTCCCTTTTCCAAGACACGAGGTGGTGCTTGTGTGTTGGAGTCTGCCTGCTTTGCATCTGTCTGTTTTTGTGGGCGCTTTTTGGTCGAATCAGCAGTATTCCTGTGCTCTCCAACTTTTTTATTCTTCCCTTTTGGGCTGATTTCGTCGCCGATCTCTATTTTCCGCTTCTTCCCAGCTGGCTGCGCCTGCGCTCCGGCGCTAGATTTTCCAGACCGCGTGGTGGGCATGATGGAAGGGGTTCGCTAGACAACAACAAGCCTGCGCTTTTCCCGTAAAGCCTGGCTTTTAACAGAGCAAGGCGCGGCCGTTTTTATAGGTTGAGGTGTTGCAACGTGCATGAGCGTCACTGTTATATCATAGAGGCCAGTGGCACCTCCGCATCAGAACGTCATACATACGCGGAGGACTTTCCGATGGCGCACTAAGCAGTCCGGGACAGACATGTCTCATTTAGTACTGCAGTTGCAACTGAATACGGAGTCCTCCGCATTTGACCCTTAAAAAACTGGTGACCTAGTGAAATGTGTCTCCCGAGCATCAATAGTACCAGATCTCCCAATGAGGAACCTTCGAAAGAATCGGCAAGAGCCTCGACTTCAAGCTCTACGACGAGATAAATTACGTATTGAGAGTTTTCCCAGCTAGTATTATATGTTAAGAGACGTTATAAAGCTCTTACTTTGGAACGGTCTGTTCACGAAAGACGGTAATGTCACGAGCATAACGGGGAGAAAATTGGGGCCAGGAAACCCGGGCCACAAGATTTACTCAAGGACTCAAGGTAATATTAGATAAGTACAATTTACCAATACCTACAAACCATCTAGCATGGCCGGACTTAAGAAGCGGCTAGGAGCTGATCGGTTGTAGATTTAGACAAGACCAGCAAGGCATGAAATATCATCGCCGGTGAGAGGCCATTCGGCGCCAAATCATTATCTGGTTGGGAAGCATATGAGTCGGTTCCGATCATGGCCTCACAGCCATGCTTCCGAGCTACTCGGCGTCGTTTTACGAGACAGTCTCCCTGTTTTGCAACATATCCCATGTCGGCTTCGGCTTCAGCGCCAGTTTAACATCCCTAAAGCGACCGGCGGCCGTCTTCTCGCCAGCAAACCGTCTCGCGACACGCTCTATTTCCCCCCAATCTAGCACTGCCCTACCTACGGCTCTGCCGTCCTGCTTCACCGCTGCCACCGCATTTGCAATCCAGGTGCGACACCTCCAGTTGGCGTCATTTTGCACAATAGGAACGGCTCGGAGAATGTTTGCGAGGCGCTCCTCATCCAGGACCTTGGCGACGAGGATGCGGACGAGTAGGTTGTTGGTGGATCGAACGTCGCGTAGCTCCGCTTCCTCGTACACCCAACCCCGAGAAATGGGATTTTTGACGTGGTAGCGCATACCTTGGACCGAGTCTTGATCCTCGACCTTGGGCCCGACTAGGAAGCCCCAATGGTACCTGTTCTCGGACTCAAATGTAAGCTTCTAGATACAGAAGTCGGAGGGCAGGCCGCTGCGGCTTCTTCACCTTCGCGTTTCATCATTCACGATGCCACTAGGATAGAGGGCGACGTAAAGACGTTTCTTGTTGGAGACCATTCCTACTACTTGTCAAAGTCACTGAGCAAAATAGGAAAGGCACTGACTGGTCCGCGATCTCTCCATTTAGATGAGCTCTGAAAGTACTGGTAAACAGTCAAAGAAACCATGAATAATTGAGAGGAAGATTCGCTTTATGAAGAGTCTTGGGCCTTGGGTCGACTCAGAGAAAGTGAAGGGGCCGTCGCAGCTGAGAACTTCGGGAGCCATTGAAATTGGTTCATATCGTTCCTGCTTGAGACACCTAACCTGGGGCCCGTTTCAGGCCATGGCCGAAGGAGAGGGATGCAGAGCCAATAAATCAGGGCCTTGGGCGCTTAGCATTCGGCTGGTGTATTCCAGACAGACAGTACAGTCCAATCGTCTCTCAGACGGCGGGATAGCACCAGGTCAGGGCTACGCATTGGGCCATCAGGCGAGGGTTGTAATTCGAAACAAAATAGATATGTAGGCCGATTTAGACCTTGTTCAGATCTCTCCCCACCACCTCTGCCTAGTCCTTTCCATCTCCAAGTCCTCTGGGAATGGCTCCAAGAAGCTGCTGAGTAGATCCTGCCACTCTGTTCTCAATATCTGGGTGCACCACGCAGACGTATATTCCCAATAATTTGGATACCAACCAGAAAATTCCCAGTCGATGATGCCAACAACTTTATCCCCTCGGACAATTATATTGCATGGGTTCAAATCACCGTGCGTGAAGACTGGCCGAGGCCAAGGCCCGTCCTGTCGAGCGGCCATGTCCTTGACGTCCTTCCAATCTTGTTCAGCCGCCTGCTCAGGCTTCTCGGCTTCCGAGGGCCGCAAGTTGTCCCTCAGCCACAAGTGAAATTCTTGTATGGTTTGGAAAGGGCCGAAGCGGCGATCTGGACGGGGCATCCGGCTATCGAATAACGACCCGCCAACGCAGCTCTCGACCCCCGCGTCAGGGCGAGGCTGAAGCGAACGAATTTCTTCCACCATGAGCTTCAACTGCGCCAAGAGCTTGTCCTTGGATTCTTTGGATCGATCATCCCATCCTTTCGCGATGCAATCGCCTCGTATTCTCTCCATGACAAGGTATACGCGTCCATTGCGAGTAAAGGAGCACCAGACCTTGGGTATAGGGACGGAGGTGTTGTTGGCGACAAATTTCATTGTTGCTCCTTCTGTCAAGTCGACAAAGGCATCCGACTTGACGATTAGGCGTCTCGAAATGGGGACGCAAGCGCCTTGGCGATGAAAGAACCGTGCGGTAGTCTTGAGGGCAACAAGAGTAAGGAAGCGGCGGATGCAGGTATTGTTGATGGCGAGGCTTTCATGCCCTGCATCGAGGTGTCTTGCGTCTCTGGACATTGGTCGAAATCGGCGGAATTTTTGCCTTGACAGACAGCTTTAAGCATTGCTGCCATTGCCGACGAAGCGAAAGTAGGCGGGATATGCAGACGTCTAAAGTGTGAAACGAGGGTTGGGAAAGGAATGCTAGAGATCCATTTGATCAATGGTCACATGCAGACGAGAGACGGCACCTGGGGGCATTGACATAATCAACTGCTAGCACGTGCCAGGCGGCCACCAGCTTAAGCACACATTGATGCCAGCTGGCACCAGTTGACATGACTTCAGTGGCGGTACTGGGGCACATGTGGGGAACTGTAGCGGTCTGGTGCGGGCTGTGCACCGTAACTTGAGAGGTCAACTGGTCTGGTGCCTGTATCTGTCTGGTACCCCGTAAGCACGAGCTGTCCCCGGGGGGGGTGAGCTCAAGAGCTAGCACTTGAGGTCAATGCTAAAGGTCACTGGTCACCAGCACTGAGTCTGGTGCCTTCACATGTGCACAATGTTACAGATGTACATGGAGGAAACGGCGTGCAAAGGTTGTCACTCGTCACAATGATTGAGACCTTCTGTTCTTTCCTTTCAACACGATTCTCCCCAATGGGCTAATTCTCCTACTTCGACAACAAGGATGTCCGGATTTTCTGATATGGTGGACCTATCATTTTGTCTCCCATCGCAACATTAAGCACTAGTCAGATTCCAACTTGACATGCTAAAACAAAACCCGCAGAATTGACTCATCTGCGGCCTCCCTCAAGGCTCGCCCCCATCACCAATACTCTATCTCCTAGCTACGACTCCTATGTACTCTCTACCTAGGGCAACAGAAAGGTACGGCTATGCAGACGACACAGTGATGCTCTTTATAGGAGACACTTTAAAGGAGACTACAGCGGAGACAAATATTACAATCGCGAAATGGGGGCATAGGGACAACGGGAGGCTTTCTCCTTTGACCCAGACAAGACAAAAGTCATTCACTTCTCTAGAAAACTTGACAGAACAGAAGCTCCCCACCAGTCTTCCACCAGGACCGGGAAGTTAAGGCACAGAAGTCAATACGCTGGCTGCGAGTCTAGCTCAACCGTAAGCTTACTTGTAACACGCACATTGAGAAATTGTCACTTACGGCAAATAAGTCCATCTCACAGCTACGGTTTATTGGCAATACAGTACGGAAAACGTCATCAGTAGCAGCTAGGAGAGCAGTCTATGCTGTAGCCCTATCCACACTCTTCTACGGACTGGACACATGGTTCCCAGGCTTCCCCTCCAAGATAACACAGAGGAGAGTAAGGACTATTTTATTAACTCTTAAAACTCCAAATAATCCTGAACAAGGCCTACCACGCCATCCTACCTGTCTGAAAGACCACCCCGCGAGTATTTCTCTGGAAGGAGGCGGCAATCCTGCCTGTAAATATTATCCTCACGCAAACACAAGCGCACAACGCGCTTTAATACGTAATGCTAGATACAGCCCTCTTGATTGCTACAAGGCTAAAACAAGCGCAACCTTGCCCTGCAAATTCTGATATTTAGTCGGCATCAAAAAAAGGCTAGAGGTGGCCGGCAGGCTGCAGTTTCATATAAGCTAATAGACACCGAAACCAACATGAGTCAATTGGGGACCGTATCAAGACATTTAGTACCAGACAACACCAGACTTGTTTTTATTACCGTCAACATTTGGGGGGACATCACTGGATAGCCAAGACGGAGAGGTCACGCCCACCAGATGCCAATATTGCATGACTTGGTACCCGCGGACTGCTACACTGGTGCGGCTGTATAATAATGCCAACTTCCCTGTCTTCGGACCGGATAACTTCGAAACAACCCATCTGCTAGCACTCGGTCCTCGGGCCATTACAACATTTGAAGCCATGTAAAAAGTGCTGGTCGGGGCCAACACACAATCACTCAGCCAAGACCGCGCCTGATTTAGAGTAATAATCGGGACACTTCAATGTTATCTTAATACTCACATTGGTGGGTGGTCCAATACTAATTAGCATGCTCGAGGACAGTTTTGTTCCACCAAAGTTTTGGGGAAGTCTCTGTCGCATATAATAGTGTCAGATATCAGGACCTTAAAATAGGGCAAGTCATTGCTCTTTATCTTTTCAGCTGCAGAATAGCTCGCGGAGACTCACGTACCTAGGAAAATTGTATGTTAGAGGAGCCTCCACGAGTTATTCCGCAGCTAAAGAGATAGTACCACGACGCGGCATTATAGGTATTACCATCAACTCCTAGTCTTAGGATTGTATCAGATATATATACCCACCAAGTACAATGCCACGCTCCTACGTTTTTAAGTCGCGACTTTGTGTAAAAAATACAAGGGCACTACTCGTGCCACGCCCAATTACGGCTTTTTACTGCCATTATAAAATAAGCTATGAACGTAAATCACACACACACACACACACATATATACATATATATATATTAATACAGACATTGATAAGGCTATAAAATGAAATAAACGTACGCCTCACTGAATTTATAGGAGTTAGGCGTTCTTCCAGATTAGGACTAAGGGGTACTACATGATTAATTTCAACGTAAAACATGTTTAGTTGCCCCAGTACCTACTTAGGGGTCCGGCTATGCCTGAAACGAATAATCCCCTGTCGTAAACGAGACCACCTATCCCGCTGAACCTCTTGTTCTGGTTGACTTTCCTCGGAAAGCTGTTCTTGGGCGGACCGAGAAGTCCGTCTTTGAGTATAATCCCCCGGCGTCTGCCCTTCCTCGGTATCAATTGTCCTGACACCACCCGTCTCTGGCTGTGTGCATGAACGAGTCGAAGACTGCGAAAGATGGTCAAGCCGCGGCATCTTACTTGGCGACCCAGATGTCGCCGATACGGGCATGAGCTGGGGGGACGTGGGCGCTTCCGCTACTTGGCGCGGTTGCATATTGCGCTTCTCCTCGATGATCCCTAGATACTCTCTATATTCGCTATTGTACTCGCTGTTGAGGCTCAGCACGTCCCGCAACGTCTGCTCAGGCTCTAGTGTTTTGAAGCGCAGAGACGTAGTCTGCTCCATGTCCGCTAGAGGATCGCGCAACTCGAACCTGGTCTCTGGGAAACTGGCATTGACATCTGCGCCGTAGTCCAGAAACAGTTTCATAATCGCAACCCATTTGGTCTTATTCTCATGTGTCTGCGCGGGCCCAGGATTCGATGGCACTGTATCGACGTGAAAGAGGTGGTAGCCCGCCTCGAGAACTTCACGACACATTTCGATCTGGTGTAGCATCATTAGGGTCCGCCTGAAATTTGAAGAAGAGCTTTACCACGTCAGGGCGTGGAAGATTATGTGAGTCGCGGATGGTGGTCGCCCAGGGGAGCGTGGCTAGGTCCTTTGTATTGATGAGATGTGTGAGGAGGGAGACATTACTGTTGTCTTTCAGCATGACGATGTTCTCATTTACTGTGGTGCGCAAATACCACCATAGTTCGGCTTTTATAGCCAGGAGGACGCGGTAGTGCTCGTATATTATGCCATTGAAGGAACCAGGCACGGGGGCTGTGTACGTCAGGCTAGTAGGTAATGGCTGTAGTCGTTGGATGCGAAGACAGACATCGCTGAGCTCGTTGAACAGGCGGGTGTAGTAGGGAAACACTCCAGGGCCATCGTCGGCAAGAGAGGCGGCAGCAAGTGCCTGAGTCACCAAGTTGTTGATGAGTGCTCTGTAATCAACGGTGGAGTCATTGCTTGGCCATTCTTCGTTCAGGTTTTGTTTCAGTCGAATAATGCAAGCGCTTAGCAGGTTCATAGGAGGGTCAAATCTTGTGTCTGTCAATTCTCCGAGTAATCGTTGAGAATTCTGAGGCTTGGAGAGAAAGCTCCTCACGGAGTCATGGATGAAGCGAATGTCGTTTCCATCTTGAATAGAGAGAAGACCACCACAACGGCGGTTCATACGCCTAGTTGCTTTGAGTCTCCGCTCTTCGTGGGCCGATTCGCTCCTCTTCGGTTCATGGTATCCATATTTGGCATTGACAGCTGCAAGATCGCTTCCAGCTTCCTGGATAGAACTTCCGGGCTCAACACTATAGTCCTCGACTGCGATGCTTAGTAAATCAATATCCAACTGAAATGGCACAATGGCGATAATGCGAAGAATCCTGGACGCCTCTTTCTTGTAGTGTGACGGGATATCATCCAACATTCTCTCGTACAGAGTCTCCAGCAATTCGGGGGTACGGACAATTTGGTGGTTGAAATCCAAATCGTCTTTCAAGCGTTGAATCAGGTTATGAACAGTGAGAGCTCTCTGGAGAATTGCTCCCCAAGAAAGATATGTTACATCTTCTACTAGTCCCGGGTTAACTTCTCCGTTGGCTAATCGTTGCTCAACATATTTGACGATATCTGAGCTGCTGAAGTGGTCCATCTGCTGCGGTGTTACCTCGCCGAAGCCTCCTGTCAGTAGTAGTCGTTGCTCAACGTCTCTGAAAATATCTGAGCCGTTCAAGTCTTCCATCCGCAGCTGCGCCACCTCGCTAAACTCGGAGAAGAACACGCTGGAAGGTCGGCTGGAAAAGCATATCTTCAGATTTCGAAGCGGTCGGCGGCGAGATATGAACCGACATACTCTATAAAGATAATTTGAATCATGCTCTGTTTCGGGCCCGCATTCATCCAAGGCGTCAAGAAAGAGGATGAATCTGGTATCAGAAGCCACTTCCACAGTCTTTTCAAAAACCGACGACAAAGTTGCCCACGACAAAGACGATCCAAGAAAATCTGTGCCGACGATGTCTCCGTCCCGGATGAGGAGATTGACAAGATCGCCCCGTTTAATGAATATGTGATAGAGAACGGACCGAAGCATATCATTCGCAGTCCTTTGACCTTGCAGCCGTCCGTTGAAGAAGAAGCCTGTAATTGATGTCTGATTCGCCATGGTGCCCGGTTGACTCTGAGCTCCAGAGGATTGGATCAAATGGTGGTATAGCTCCGCCATCAAGACAGTCTTGCCGCTGCCGGTGTTGCCTCGAATCCAGAGATATGGACACTCGGGATCGTCTAGCCAGTCTGTTATTTTGGAGTTCACCGGCTTTTTCAGGAAGCCGGATATAGAATTCAACAATGATGAGGCGACTGTGTCGGATGGTAAAGGGAGATAGCCACTTGAATCTTTTTGCAGAGCCAAAATAATATCTGCCGCCATATCAGTAATTTGTTTTGCCGTAGACCGATGGTCACACACCTTTTTCAGAATACTTGGGCTGACACGGCTGTGAGAATGAGGCTTGAGGAGACGTTGACTTGGAGACGTAATTGTAGTCGTCTTGATGGTCTGGTAGGTCTACTATAAAATATTAGACCCCCATTACAAATTGGACATTGGGGTCTTGGGCATCGCCGTCACTCACCTGAAATGCGGCTCTCCGATTGCTTCTCACGAATCAGGACTGCATGGAGAAACTCGACGATTTTTTCGTAGACAACATCGTCAGTGCACGATAGTCTGGGGAGACTCCCGTGATCCTTGTCGACGCTCACATTTTCCGCATTAGGTAGTTTACAGTCTATGCCGTCTAGAGGCGTCAACTTTGAAAGGTTAGTAGACTGACTCCCAAGCAGCCAAGTAGGAATCAAAGGCCCTTTACCTGTCCCGATGTTTCTGTGATGGAGAGCATCTTGATGTGTAAACGTCGACATACTCCTCCAAAGTCCAAATCAAGTTTATTGTATGCCTCAGTCTGCTCTGTATGGGCGAATCCTCGTTTGGTTCGTCCGTTCAATGAATTGTTCCGCCCAGGGTCGAGGCGATTGTCAATAGCCGCTTGTACTATCCTCCGAACCGCATCATTGCGTGAATTTTCGTCCAACTCTTGGTGCGGAGTACCCAAAAACACGAGCCCTTTGATAGCTCTGAGGCAAGAGTCATTCTTCGGGACTGCACCAGCGAGCGCTGCTTTCACTACCAGACCACCGAGACTGTGGCTGACGAATACCAGCGGCATGGGTTTTCCAGATTTGGAAGTGAGTTCTGGAGCATACACTGTGCTGCGGACAAAGTCTAAGAGTTTCGTCCCAAGCTCACTAAAACTTACTGCGCCCGAGAAATCTGTTAGTTCAAGCTGGCGGTCCCAGAAGAAGACTCGGGCTTGTAACTCGCTCCCCGGGAGGTATTTCGTAGGCCACTGTGACGGTACAAGGGCA